AGGTATTTTAACACACGCTTCGAGGCTATGGTGTGCTCCCCGACGGTGATTTCTGCCCGCTGTACCGCTTTACAGTTACTGACCAATAACGCTTCCGTTTTGTGGTGGGCTATCTGCAGCTTCGCTCCTTGCATCCAGTTACCAATCATATCGATCGCCTCGGTTGACAACACTTCCACCTCTTCCAGCGTCTCGCCTGCTACCGTCAAGACGACGTCGTCCGCAAAGCCAACGAACTCAACTCCTTTGGGCAGTTTCAGCGTTAGCACGCCATTGTACATCCCGTTCCACAGCGTTGGACCAAGGATGGAGCCTTGTGGAACTCCCGTTGTAATCCTAATCGATCTCTGTCCCATGTCTGTCTCGTGATGTGATGTGATGTGATGTAAAGGATACCACTTATTGTTGCAAGGCACAGCCATTAGACAGTGGATTATCCTCCAAGTATAACTTGATCAAGTACGATACCTGGTTGTATTCAATTAACCATTTTAAGAAGGGCCAAAAACGGAGGGGCGGACCCGTAAGCAGATACACTTACGCGCAATCCGCGAAAGTCCCATGTCTGTCTCGTAGACCAGAACCCGGTTCTGGAAATAACTCCTCAGGATCCTGTACAGGTAGTCAGGGACCCTCATACTATGCAGTGCTTCGGCGATGGCCTCCCAGCTGGCGCTGTTGAACGCATTCTTGACCTCGATCGTTATCACGGCGCAATATCGATCTCCTCTCCGCTTCTGTTTGGACGCCTTCTCAGCTCTCTCGACCACTGTCCGAATTGCATCTCCCTTTCCGGAATCCGAACTGCCTCTCCGACAATCCGTGCTCACTCTCCGTGCATTTCATCAGCCTATTTAGGATGATCCTCTCCAAGAGTTTCCCGAGTGTATCCAGCAGACATATAGGCCTGAACGATGCTGGATCATCCGGTGGTTTTCCTGGTTGCGGTAGCAACACTAGCTTCTGTATCTTCCACATGTCAGGGAAGTGACTCTCGTCCAGGCATTTCTGCAGCAACATCCTGAACATGTCCGGGGATGCTTGGATCGCCACTTTCAACGCTAGGTTGGGGTTTCCTTCTGGACCGGGAGTTTTCTTCACCTTCAATCGACTTCGTTCCTCGTTAGTGACTTCGATGTTATCTCCTTCTCCTTCTCCGTACGGTGTAGGTGGCCAGGTCATTGGGTCGTGCTTCGGGAACAGTCCTTCCACGATGACTTTCAGCTTCTCTGGGCACATTTTAGCGGGCATCGTTGGACCTATGATCTTCGCCATCACCACTCGGTATGCGTCGCCCCAGTGGTTGGCATCATCGTCTCGACACAGCTCCTTAAAACAGTTTAACTTGCTCTGCTTTATCTCTCGTTTAAATGCGGCCCTGGCCGCTCGAAATACTCCTCTTCGTTCCTCTCTGTCTGCTTCTGTTCTTGCTCTCTGAACATGTCTTCTGGCTCTGAGACAACTAGCGCGGAGGGTGCTAAGTGCCTCGTTCCAGCAGTAAACTGGACGCTGTCTGTTATTTGGCTCCAGTTTTCTCGGCATGGTCGTGTCACATACTCTCACTAACGTTTCTGTCAGCTCGTCCACGTTCAGAACCACGGGGCTCCTGTCCAAACGAAGTGCTTCAACGAAAAGATCCTTGTCGATAGCCTTCGTCTGCCCGTACTGCCCGAGCAGGAAAAAATAACTCATTAATACCAAATTCAGGTATGGAAATAGCATAACTTGCAACCTAAATATGGTATTAGTGCGGCTGACATAAGAGGTAAAATACCAAAAATAATACCACAAAAATGTTCTACGAATAACGAACTAATAAATAATTTTGTTATTACAATAACAAACGGATAACAGATGCTTTTTAAGATGCCAGTATACCACAGCTTGTTATTATGAAGGTCTTCTAATACCAATTCAATAACTCTTTTAGGTGTTATTGTCTAAAAACTGAAAGATCGCATTTTGTTATTTTGGTATTCATTTGATATTTTACAAAATATTTCGATAACTGATCAAAATCAAAACAAGGTTTTATACCACATGCATACCAAAATCTGGTATCATACCACATTAAGATATTCATTTGTTATCGATTAGCTATCGGTACCTGCGCGGGTGGAGAAAGTAACGTCGATAATGGATTCATGGCCGTCTCTGCAAAAAGTGGTGCTGGTGCCTTCGTTGGCCAGCATAACTTCCAGTTTTGCCAGAGCTTCCAGCAGACTGTGCCCTCTTCCATTGGAACATCTGCTTCCCCACTCTACTGCCCAAGCATTGAAGTACCTCCGATGACTACCGGTTACTTCTCCATCGTCTATCTGGGGGGTGCGTAACAACTACACATGAAGATTCCGTTGATTTTGGCGATCACGAAACCTTCGTATGAGCTCGCAACCACTTCTTGAATGGGGTATCTGCCCATAACTTGAATAGCAGACATCCCAGCTCTATCCGCCACCCAATTACCGTTATCGGGAGGGACTCGATACGGTTTCGCAATTATTGCAACGTCGCACTCTGTTTCTGTTGTCGACTGCCACAACAGTTGCTGAGCAGTGTCGCAATGATTGAGGTTTATTTTGGTTACCTCCATTACTGTTGGCCTGCCATTGCCTTTTTGTATGCTAGGCATTTGAAGCCTCCCGTCGTAGGATCGTTTCGTCCTCTTTTTGCAGAGCATGCACCTCGCTTGCTTTTCCCCACATTTCCTGCATAGATCAGATCTGTCGGGGCCATTGCAGTTCCTCTCCTGGTGACCGAATCCCGTGCACTTGAAGCATCGCTCCAGTTTCTTGGTAACCCAAGGAGTGGCTTTCAGTGAGCACACTGACCACCCAACCTTGACCTTGCCCGTCTCCAGCAGCTTGTTCGCTGCAACTGTCGAAAGCCGTATCACCACCGTTTGCATACCGCCGTACGCCTTCCTTATCCGGATTGACCTCGGTACATCTACCAGATTACAGTGCACTCTTAACGCACTTCTCAGTTCCTCTTTTGTAGTGATCTCGTCCAGGTCCCTGCACTCTACCACTGTCTCCTGGTATAGAGCTCTTACGCTCGCCCCTTCGCCAAGAGACTTTTCGACGAGCTCCTAGAAGGCTGAGCTCTTGATCGCAGGATTCTTTTTCAGCTCAAAGAGCATCTCGCCTTTCTGGGTGCGCCTGGTTTTCACCATTTTCTCTCCTAGTTACTTCAACTCCGGATCCTCTAGAACCTTCCGGAGGAGTGCTGCATACGACGTCTTTTCCTTCGACGATCAGAGCATCGCCTTTACTTCACTCCCTACGAGTCTTGGGTATCTCCTTCTTTTGTTCTTCTTTTTCTTCAGTTATTTTTCCTTCCGTTTTTTTCCACTTCTCCTTCGGCTTCTCGACGATACGCCATCCTTCCTCCTTGTGGTCTTCCTTGTCGTTTTTGACTTTTTTTTTCCTTCAGCTGCTGCTTTCTCCTTTGCTTCGATCAGTGCCCTTTCGGTAGTCACGGATCTCGTCCTCAGCACATCTTCTTCACGTTCGGCGGTTTTGATGTCCATCACCATTACCTTTATTGCCTTGTGGACGTTGCTCTTATTCTATTCCTGACCTCCATCAATTTGGTCTTCCCAAGCTGGAGTCCTTTTTGAGGTGTGCTACTGCTTGATTTCGGTGCAAACATCTGGCTTAGCACAAGACCTAGCTCTCCTTGGTGTTCTTGCTGCTCACCTTGAGGCTTACTCGTGCTGCTGGAACTCGCTGTGGCCACCAATATCCCACACCTTGTGATTAATTCTATAAAAGAAAACATGGGCACAGAAAATAATTTAAATGATTCCCAACTCGTTTTATAAGGATCATGTAGCCCACGCCCCGATTCCCACATCATAAAAAAAATGATAATGGCCCTAGTTGGTATTTCAGTAACTCCTGGTTTCAGTGGTTCAAGCTCAATTTAATTGACTGAGATTTTTGTTGTGAATTCAAAGCATTCAAAAACAAATCGGGCTGGAACTATAGCATACACGATTTCTAGTACGGTAGGCACTCGCAGGGGAACCCATTTCAAAGCGTTGAAATGCATCGCTTCGAAAGATTTACAAACATTCTTTCAACTATGTAGGTGTTAATCAATTTTCGATGTTATATGGAGTAGATCTATCGCAAACTTGCTAAATACAAGCTGTCCGGTCATCGGTGGATGGATGGCTTGGGAAAGGGGAGGAATATGAGAATCGATGATTGATTCCACGGGCTACCCAAAGCAACAACTTGGCAAACACTTAACACCTCACTGTTTATCGGATGACGGTGTATTCGGCGGTGGGGACGTCGAATGGCTTTGGCCTTTTAGTTTGTTAGATCGGACACGCTCGGGCGATTAGACGTGGGGATCTGGATTTATTTTTGTTTGGTTTGGATTATGAACGCTTAAAGTAAATACAATGCGGCGGTGCAGAGGAGACGAGAACATCACATGACTGGGAGCGGAATTATTGACACAATCAGTGGTTTTCAGAACTCAGTGGCAGTTTTGTCGAATTTATGGAGCAACCGATTTTACGGCTGGAAAATGAACGCGTATTTCAGGGAATTTGTTTATTTGATGATTCATGAGACAAGTTAATGATCCCTAACAAACTAAATGTGTTGGATTTTCTGGATGAATTCTATTCTTAGAAGGAAAAGTAGCCAACTATATAGATCAATGTCACGGCAGTTATATGAACCAAATGACTTTGACCACTTGAGTCTATCACGGTGAGTAAGTGGCTCTCCAGATCTAGTTAGTCATGCGTAACAGCAACTCGATCGGCAAACCGCAGATCGATTTTTCCTCACCGCAATAAGCACGACCACCGTCATCTTGGCCTTAGAATTATCTAATTTCTACTAGATAAAATCAATTACAGTCTGTGAGATATGCTCGGATCTTAAACAGGTCGTTTTGATCATTTTAATAAATATAGATAAACAAAATCAAAGGTTGAGCAACAAATTTACCATTTGCTTTCCTACTACTTTCAGATATAGCGAAATTCTCCACGGGGACCCCCACCTGCAGTCGATTGCATATGGCCAGCTGGGCTGTGTCACTGGTGGCGACAGCGATTTCGGCAATCACCCGGCTCAGTTAGTGACAGACGCAGAATTGACGAATACAAACAGCCAAAGGCACATTTGCAGAAGATCTCTGCACCCCCACCAAAGGATCCGTACTACTAAAACCAATCAACTTTCCTACTGGATGGATCAAAACTATCGCATTACAAATCATGTGGCATACCTACGTTTAGAGTTTAAGTTTAGCGATTGTGAAATAGTGGACTATCACGTGCCGTACTTATTGCGTTTTCATAAGCAGCAGCAGGATTAAGGCTGTGGCATTCCCTAGTGTCGTACCGCAAGCAGAGCTAAAACACAGGGGATGTATTTTTAATAGTTTTGAAACATTAGTTCTCTTTGTGATTAAATTGTATGGTTTGCTGAACTGGCTAGTTTAGGTTAAATGTGAACAATTTTAAGTTTTTAAGCTTTTTAGTACCTACACATACAGAATAAACTATTTTTGAACGGTAAAAAATGTAATTTAAAATAAAGAACACAATTGAAGCATAAACATAAAAATATTGTTATTGTCCAACTGAATCTTGCACGAAATGGCTACCTGGCATGTGGGATCACAAAGTAAGTGGTAGGGAAATGGTGTAAAACTCGTCGGCTGGATAATACAGCTTCATATTTCGCATATCAATACATTTTGATCAACTGTTTACAGTATCGACAAGTAGTATTTAAAGTTGATGCGTTTCTACATTCAAATTTAACACTCCAGCTATGAAAAAAAAGAAAAATAGTCGTAGAAATTGTTTTTGCGCTTAGTTCTTTTAGTTGATTAAAACCTATAAACAAAAAACTCTTTAAATATTGCAAATGGTGACCGGTTATGTGAATAAGGCCGAATCTATATCCGAAATGGAATGGATACCAACAGTAATAACAAAACCGTTAAGGAGGTCTTATGAAAAAAGACCGAATGACGAATGGCCGAATGAAAAATAAGCGACTGAACGAATTACCGAAAGGAAGAATGGCCAAAAAACGAATGGCCAAATGGACCAAATAGACGAAATTTATAATACGTTAACAACAAAGAAACTGATAAAATCTGACAGTGCGAATGAAATTCTACATTAAACATAATGCACTTTACTTAACCCGTTAACGCCCGACCTCCAGCAAGTGTTTGATTTTTCTAGGAAATACTCAAGGATTACTTTTATGAAATTAAAAATAAATCTACAGTTTTAATTTTTATAGCTGCACAATAGATGAACAATTCATGCTGTTAACCTTCTTATGCTCGAATTTTCGTTTTGATTCAACATACTTTCATTCGAACAACCTTCAAGGCAATAACGAGTTCTGTATTATTATTTGATATTAATAATAAAATTTGGAAGAACAGCTCATGTGAAAAGAAGGAAAAATCGCGGTTAAAAATATTAATTTCCGAAGCGCCAAAAATCACTACAAAAATATGTTTCGAAAGAATAGAAGATCCAACTATTCCTACCACTTTCAACCAGACAGTTGTTCATTTCAGTTTTAACTGTTATATGCGTGACGGGGTACCCGGGTAAAAATATCTTTCAGTTGTTGTTCAGACTGTTTTCTAATATAATGATCTTATTGATCGTTCCTGTAAATTGAAATTCGTCCTTTCAGCCATTCGTCCTTTCAGCCATTCGTCCTTTCAGCCATTCGTCCTTTCAGCCATTCGTCCTTTCAGCCATTCGTCCTTTCAGCCATTCGTCCTTTCAGCCATTCGTCCTTTCAGCCATTCGTCCTTTCAGCCATTCGTCCATTCGGTTATTTGTCATTCGGCCATTTGTCCTGTAATTTACAGGTTCTTACAATCAATAATTAACGTCAGGTGATGATGATGATGATGATGGTCCCACCTCTTACCCCTACAAAGGTTTGAGCTGGATGATTTATCTTTAAGATAATTTAATGTAAACATTTTAACCAGGTTAGCAAAAAAAACGAGCTGGTTACATTTACAGACAGTGATGTCATTTCACCGAAATACGACTCTAGCGTACGTATATTTTTCCACCTCTGAGGATGTATGCATTGCTACTCATACGAGCAAATCACCACGTTTACGGTGAGAACACAACAAACCCAGTGTGAGAGAGTGCTTATTAAGAATTTTTGTGGTGAAAACTAAAATCACTCTCTCTAGAGAAATGAATTTAAATGTGCTCCCGAGTTCACTCACCTAAAAGTTCTCGAGGGTTTACCTCTCGAGAGACCTCACTGCAGAGCCCACTCTTCAGAGCATAGATTTGAGCGCTGTTGAAGCATTCTTTTATTACTAGCATATTAAGCTTGTAGGACCTACTACAGATTAGTGCTTCGCTTCGTGCGTGTCAGTTGTTAATTTTGTTTGAGCGATTGAAAATAAAAAAATGGCTGAAAAAAGAAAAAGGGAAGATGTTGTGCAGCAATTCTTCAATAAGAAAAAAGTGCTAAATACAGAAGGAAAGGAGATTTTCTTATCTTGGTGTTCGTTGTGCGGCGAGGCTGGTAAGCCATTTAAATGTGATTCGACGTTTAATTTGTCGCGACATTTAATGGTTAAGCATAAAAAAGAAGCAGAAGAAAGTGGAATTACTGCACCTGAAGAGCAAGTGACCGGAGAAGATGCTCCGGGCAAGCCTAATCGAATCAGTGTAACCATCGATAAAAACACGTACATCACATCATTAGTGCTATGGATTACTGAATGCAACATCCCAATGAACTTTTTTGCAAAGAAGTGCGCGAGTGATGTTTTGTGGCCACTTGAAAGTACTTTGAAACTAAACAGTGTCAGCCGAAGGAACATAATAGGAAGCTCGTATGACAACTTTTATACGGTATCAATTGAAAGGCAAGTTCGTGTGTATTAAGGCTGATATAGCTTCACGAAAAGGTAGATCCGTATTGGGGATAAACTGCCAAGTTGTTATTAAGGGTAACATTGTTGTTCGTTCTACTGATAATGGAAAAAAAACTTTCTTAAAACGTCAGTGCTAATGAGAAACGCGCAAATGATAGTGTTAAACGAAAACGAAATGCAAGGACTCCCAGAATCCGAACAGAATATCATTGAGAACAGTATCGTTGAATTGGGGAACCAGGGCGAGGTTGGAGATGAAGTATTCGCATCTGTTACGTAAGTGAATTAATTTTTTTCATATAAAAAAAACTGCTGTGTATACGACCTTGGAACGGAAAAAATAAACACCGTAATTTTTTTTCAATTTCATAAAAAGTTCAAAGCTATAATTTTTCAGTCTGTTTATCAAAATTTCAGAAATGTTGACTGCTGTTTAGTAAAATATTGACAATTTATCGGTACTGTTTTAATCTTGATTGACCGGGTTTTTATGACGTTTGAGCAATTTTCGTAAAACACGTCATGCTGAACTACCCGTTTTCAAATTGTTTTTTTTTTTCTCGAAGTACAATGAATTAAATTAACTGCTATTTTATTCGTGATGAAAAATGTTCGGAAATCATGATTATTATTTTATTTTAATAATAAAATTTACTAATTTTACAATTACGGTTAACACTTTGGTGTTTTATTTTTCGGCCAATGGTCCCAAAGCCGTATTTAGGAAGACAACAATATTTGCACCTTTTAGGTAAATGGTGTCTTAGAGAATGTGCTTCATATTTATTTGGCCAATATTTTTATGTTAGTGAAATTATGGTGGTCCATAAAATAGGCGAATTGACAAAACAAACTTTTTTATTATTTGAGATAGACCAATAAAGTGTTCTAAAAAGTTGTAGAACAATCAATTCGAAGAAACTTTGCTGAAGACACTAAATTTTCATCTCTATCGGTTTGGGCGCAAACATTGTTGTCTTCCTAAATACGGCTTTGGGACCATTGTGCAGTGTAGTCTTCTCCTTTCCAATAGTACACATATTAAAGGGATGTTGAAGCTATTTTTAAAACCGAAAGTCATAATCCATTTTAGATCGATGCTATTCGTTTACCATAAATTTTGGTAGTTAGTAACGTAAATTTAGGAATTCTTAACTTTAATTATATAATTCAGTAAATATTGTACCGATTGAAAGCATATTATTATTATTATTTATCTTTATTAGGGAGGCTTTCAGCCTTGGGCTGGTTCGCCTCCACATTGAAAGCATAATGTTTTACCTATGAATTAAAAAAAAATGCAGCTTATTTAATTGATTGTAGGTTCTTCGAGAAACAACAATTTGAACAAGGCTGTTCAAACTTAATGAAAACTTTGTCAATCAAGTTCAAAACAGTACCGATGAAAATTTAATATTTTATCCACCAGAAATCAAAATTTCACGCAGAAGAGTTACAGATCTTTATTATTTTTTTATTTAAGGCACCACGGTGCAGTGCTGCAAAATCTCGACAGTACACGGTGATATTGACAATTCTGCTTTGGTCACTCATTGCAGCCAGCAGTCATAGTCAAGGCAAACCATGTCAATTGTTAATGACAATGCTGTCAGTGACGAACATGTGCAGATGTATTTATTAGCTAAATTTGTAACGAAATTAAATGACTTGAGCAAAACAATTACATGGATCCATTTTAGTGAATAAGTATCTACGTCCTGAGCTACTTGGATAACAATAATGTGACACAGAATGTACTAAATTACACTTTTTGTTACCAGGTGAATCTTTGTCATTGACGAAAAAATGAATGAGATTTTGACGAAGGTTGTCTGTCAGTGACTATGTGACGTACAATTTAGTCAATATCGCGCGAAAGTCTGTCAGTGACAATGACAAATCTCAGCACTGCCACGGTGTTTACTTTTTTCCTTCCAATGCTGTACTATGCAGTACTCTCCACGGTGAGTGGTATCGTGGACCCACCACTATGTCTATGTTGTTTTTGAACCAATTGCGCTCGTTATCTGTAAATAACAAGTTTTTGGTTGCAGAATTACAGATTTCACTAAAAATAAGTACACAGTAATCTTTTCGCACTGTTCAAAAAGCTAAATATTGAGTATCTTTAAATTTTCAAGAGCTTGAATTCATCAGTGTAGATTGTCAGTACTGTTCTGACGCTGCTAATGCTGGGGTGGGACGTGCTGTCGAATCAGCCTACTGATCATTCTTGTATGAAATTGGTTCCAAACGTAAACAAACAATGTAGGTTCCTTATGGCTTGTTTACGTTTGGTACCAGTTATGCGAGGTAGGTCACAATTGTTCGTATTTGACAGCCACCTCCCCCCTTTGTGCTAATGCTAATGCTAATGCAACTGAGAAATACCGTTGGTGTAAAGATAGCCTTCCGGCTCAACGTCAACGCCAATATCGAAAGTAAAACTAGCAATGGAGCGTCAAATAATTAAAAATTGCACTTTCTCTATGTCCAGAGCACCAACCAGTTCTCCCACTCCAGTGTTCTCTGGAGTGAGCTTCTGTGACTTCTCTGCAGTATATTCTAGAGCTCTTGTGTCGCTCACCAGTTCCCCCCAGTGTAGAGTGATTTAATCTCACCGCGCAACAAAGCATCCTATTACACCAGAAACCCCGTAATCTG